GCGAGAGACCTTACAAGACGAGAGACCTTTCAAGAGAAGAGACCTTACAAGACAAGAGACCTTACAAGACAAGAGACCTTACAAGACAAGAGACCTTACAAGACAAGAAACCTTACAAGACAAGAGACCTTACAAGGCGAGAGACCTTACAAGGCGAGAGACCTTACAAGGCTTAAAATTATTTACATGTGCGTCGATTAATATTTGCACCTTTCTAATATTATAATTTTCGCTTGCTGTGCTGTAAGTTTATAGTTTTTATTTCTGCTTGTTTGATTTTTTAAATTTTTATACCAAACTTAATAGTGTGTATAAATTGATCATTGTTAACATCACCGGCTTTGGTTATCGTCTTTCTTTGTATACATGACATTCTAGACTTTTCTTAAGTATTGTTCACTTCACGAGTCAAATTTTAAAACAAATGTAAATGTGTTAAACCTTAAAACACCACGTACCATGGTCGGATACATTGTCAGTGCTTCTACATCAATGAGCCTTCAATCTCTGCGTTACGAATACATTACGACAGAAAAAAAAAAGTAAAAACAAAGTCGGTTCGGATAACCGGTTCTTCTGATGTTCGAATGTTCGATGTTCGATGTTAGGAAAATTGTGTTTCTACAGTATTTATCTAAAGGAAATCTAAAACTTGAAGAACATTTTTTTTTTTTTTAAATGTTATTATGATGTATTGAGAATTACAAAAGAAACAAAAAATTTCACGAAAGTTCTTTATTCCAGTAGAAAAAAAAAGAATGAACTCTGGGGGTTTAGCTGCTGTGACTTGTGTCATCATCTTGAGTGCAGTTTTTGGTGTGGCAGATACTTACTACTGTATGGTCAACGGAAATGTGGGTTCTTTTCATTTACGAAATTAAAAGACAACTTAAAGTATTATTTAATTTTGTTTAATGGTCGAGTTTTTTTTAATAAGTTCTTAAATTATTTTTTTTTTGATTTAAAGGTAAATTTTTTGATAAGACATAGCTTGAATTTATTAGGCAAATCCTTATTTTTATTTCCTTCGATAAAGAGGATTTTTTCATATCCCGAAAAGACCCATGGGCAAACGCCGAGCCCATCTCATTAATAACATCTTAAAAATACTTTGTTCTATATGGTGGGGGTTAGGCCGCAGACAGCAGAGCTTAGTGACGCTGATGCGCACCGAGCATTGCCCCATTGGCACATACTTCTTGCGTTTGGATAACAGCAAGGATCCTACCTGCCGGTACTGTAACCTGGGCCCGGAGACTCTGGCGCATCTGTTGGCCGAATGTCCCTCACTAGATCTCCCGGGGGAAGCCAGGGCGGTTGGAGGACCTTTTTTGAGGGAAATGTTGTATGGCTCAGCTCAACAGATGGAGTAGACAGCCAATTTACTAGCCGGGGTCATAAGAGAGTAATCTCAGACCCTCACCAGAATATGTGTGTTAGTTAGTTCTATATTTAGCAATGTAACTAGCACTACCAGCCGGGGTCATAAGAGAGTAATCTCAGACCTTCACCAGAATATGTGTGTTAGTTAGTTCTATATTTAGCAATGTAACTAGCACTACCAGCCGGGGTCATAAGAGAGTAATCTCAGACCTTCACCAGAATATGTGTGTTAGTTAGTTCTATATTTAGCAATGTAACTAGCACTACCAGCCGGGGTCATAAGAGAGTAATCTCAGACCTTCACCAGAATATGTGTGTTAGTTAGTTCTATATTTAGCATGCAATGTAACTAGCACTACAAGATGGCAATCATTTCACTAAATAAAATTCCCGATAACTGCACTAAATGATATTCTTTAAAAAAAATACCGCAATCGCGTCTGATGTGCAGTAGTTTCATTCTTTCTTTCTTCATTTAAAAAAAAAAAAAACTAAAAGTTTTTGTAATGAACGTGCGGTGTAAAAAGGGTGTTGGACATTAGAAAATTAATATAGTTTAGGGGCGGTAGCGTACCTGGGGGGGGTGTGTGGGGGATAGTACTAATTGGGAGTCTTATAATAAAAAGCTCGTTTCCTTAATGCATGTTTGTTTGTTTTTTTTTCAAACAACTTTGAGCAGATGACAGGTTCGCCTAATGCGGCCAACAATGCTTTACCCACCTTTTAGCGGGTTATTTGATAATTGTGCCGTCTTCCTGTTACCGTTGATTTCAGCAACAACTCATCCTGACCTTGTTCAAAACAAAATGTCTCAGGTTTTCCAAACGGGTCAGCGGATGACAAAGAAGATGGACGGATGCAACGACTGTTTCTGCGCGGGGTTCGCCTTTCGTTGTCCCGATAGGGTCCCTTGTAGTATGACAACAAAGTACTGCAGGTACAGTGCAAGGGTAAGCGCCCCTCCCAAACACTTCCATCACCAACGCTACCCGATGTCTTATTGATCAATTAATTTCCCGATAACTGCGCCGAAAAGATTTTTCAACTTAAGAAGTACCTCAAGTAGTTTTGGTGCGTAATATTTCTTTTGTTTTACGGAAATAGGTTATACATAAAATATACGGTGTAAAAAGTGGGTGGGTCATATAATATTAATATAGTTCAGGGGCAGTGGTGTACCGAGGGAAAGGGGGGGGTAGGGAGCACTCATGGAGATTCTTATAAAGTGCGTTACTAGGAATGTCGTCGATACTTTTGTTGTTTAGCGTATTTTAATTTCAAGTTTTTTTTTATACGGTTACTATTCACTATGTCTGTTTACTTGCATAAACTGGAATGAATTTTCTACTACTTCAATAAGCTATAATATATTGATTCCTATCACAGAAATACGGCCATCATAGGACTGTACCATCCAAAATATGTAGGATATGTACATGCTGGAACGGCAACATCTGCTGCCATACCTGCCCATGGCCGTGAGTGCCTAGCGCCAGTGAACGTGTTTTCTTACATTTCCATAAAATCTCAATTCTTTTTTAATGTGCATATATATATATAAATATGTAATATTATATATTAATGTGTGTATATATATATATATATATATATATTAATGTATATATATATATATATATTAATGTATATATATATATATAGCGTATATCCTATTTTCGTAAACTAACCTATTGTTGGGTAATGTCTCTTGTTGATATTAAATTGTGTTCTGCCGGCTGGGTCATCAGACCACATTTTAAAAATCAATGGTTTCTTCGGACACACCATTATAGTTTATCTTTCTAGGTTAATTGAAATTGATAATTGCTTTTTTTTTCTTTTTATTTAAGGCACTATGCACACCATGCAATAGAGGGGAGTCACCTTGGTTTGAAGTTATTGGATTATTCTATTTTTGTGAAGGGGGGGGGGGG